GGGTGGTAGGAGCATTCAACCGTCTCTGGAAGTCAAAAACTGGTCGGTGTTGTTAATTCAGACCTAAACAAGAATGGACCACATGTAAATAGCACGCAAGAGACGCAGGCTTTGTGCCACGTCAGCCAACTGAGCCCGATCGGACTTCCGGATTCTCTGACTCAGTCTTACCAGTGATTTATGGTGGAAGGGGAGAACGAGAGAGAGAGAGAGAGAGAGGGAGAGAGAGCGAAGGCGAGAGTCCGTTCCTACGTTGACGAGTTTGTGTACTACTACACCGTGGCGTGGGAGATGTCCAACTGGGGGGTGGGAATAAGTCCTTCCTTAAGACTCCTGACCAGATTACAACAGCTCCTTATTGCAACTCTCAGCAACTGAGTGAAGTTTGGTTGGCGCCGATAGAAAGACGAACGAACACGTGTGTCACATACGTAGCCGGAAGCCTTAAGCAAAGTCAGTCACCGACCCCATCCTATAATTCAATCCACACGCAAGTCATCCGGAACCTACCAGAGTAGTTGCGGTCTACAGAATGGCACACCACATTTAACAGCCGTATTTTCGTCAAAAGGTAGACGCTAAACTAGCCACTCTTTGCCGGCCAACTTCGCTTAGCAGTCACTAGAGTGGAGCCAAGAGGCATGACCGATAGACGTAGCTGATGATCAGGAAGGAAACTACTGTAGTTGATCTATCTCGTGTAATGTTAACGGAAATTCTGAAATATGTTTTCGATTCGAAGGGATTACTGAGGTGGAATTGTAATAGTAATTGCCGTTCAACTTAATCTTAAGATGTTTTCGTCATGACAGGATCTTGACTTTTGAATGGGTATCTTTCCAACCGCCGGCAAAAATAGAGACTCCGTAAAAATGAATACTTAATTAAGTGATTTTTTTCATTTAATGTCGATGTTCTTATAAATGTGCGTATATATATATATATATTTCGTAGAAAAAATGCATAAAATATATTCTTTCTTGTTCAAATGCCGTAGCAGATAACATCATTTTCGGATTTTTACTCGAAAAAATGATATCTTTCAGTTTAGAAACATTGTGATTATAACACTTTTCAGGCCATAAAATGTCCACTAATACAGCATATTATCTGTCGGTGTATTAATGCTGGCTATGTAATCTAGAACACGATCTACATCCATTGCAAAATTGTATGTATCGTAAATGACATCTTAGTAGCCTAGAGAAATTTAGGATTTCCCTTACGCGGAAAGAATTCGGCCTGTCAAATATAAATTAATAAGGGACGTAAACGTTTTTTAAAATGCAAGATTCCCTTTCTGCAAGTAAAAGAAATAAATTCTGCGAAAATTCCCATTTCTACGATTGAAAAGTCACTGTGTTGGCAAACGATCGTTTTCGGTCATTCATCGTCAGGCCAGTACATGACATGGGGAATGAAATTTGCTATAGGAAAGAATATGTGCATTTTTGTATTCCTATGTATAAAGGAAACAAAGATCACTGTGAAAGCTGCAGACTATTTAGCATTCAGCTTTTTTACCGAGTGTGGTTTTTACAGGCGAGCAGAACGAAGCTCATTTAAATACCAACATCCTGGCATGACTAAAATATTTTGGGATTATGATTCATTAATATCGTCGAAGTAATCTTTTTTGATCGAAAACATACTTCAGCATTCCGGATAAAATTGGATGAGATGGGCTAAATTCTCTATTAAAATAGTGGCACAACTACTAATTGGGCGGTATTTGTAAGTGGCGATTGAGCCTACCAGGTGACCGCCATATTTAATACTGCGGAGCTATTTTTCACAATATCGCTAGTTGGTGGTGTTAGGTTCTAACTTCCTTCGTTACTCATCGCTACTTAAAAACGTTGGATTCCACAGGCAGTCCTGGCTTGGATTAACAAGGTGGCTTTCAAGTATGCGGTCTATAGTTTTTTGAAGGCAAACCAACTCAACAGAGTATTTTTTTCTCATATATATTACATTCCAAGATTGAATCACATGACTCGTGAATGGGCATATAACCCGTTAATCGCATCGGGCCTAACTTTTTAAGCCATGCTTGAATGGTGGGTCCGTAGAAACCTAAAGAAGGTTTGTTGTGACATCGCTGATTCCTGTTGAATGTGGTGCATAAGCTATATCGATCACAGAGTCCGTCAGCCCTGAATCGAAACACCAGTA